GCATCCTTTTGAACTGCATAAATCTGCCTTCATGCCATCTATGTGCAACTTCGGTTACCATTCACTAATCATTTTTCTTCATTGTCACTACATGTTTCGGCCTAACTGGCCATCTTCACATGTATGGGTTGTTGTGATTATGAAGTCTTCTGCTCACGGCAAAGCTACCTTTTTTCCCTGCCTTGGATTACATCTGGTTATATGGATTAATCAACAATTTTAATTTTGGTGTTCTTGAGCTGCACATGTTTATCTGTAAATGTGCAGCTCAAAGACACCAAAATAATATAACTGGTTAACCCAGATAACCAGATGAAACCCAAAGGCAACTACATAAAAGAAACAAAGCAGCTTTACAGTGAGCAGCAGGTTCCTTAATCACAATAACCTGTACACCTGAAGATGGCCAGTTAGGCTGAAACATGTAACTTCAAGGAAGAAAAATTATGAGTGAATACTAACCACAGTTGCACACAAACTGCATGAAAGCAAAACACAAAGTTAGATTATCACCGTATGGCTTAACCTGGTGTCCCTGCTATCAATTATTTCATCTTCTTTGCAGAATGCCCTTCCTTGTGTCTCTATTCTTGGGATTTTCCTCATTTATGTGCATTGGGGTAGTGCTCAGATTCCATGTTTTCCCGAGTTTGAACCTTTCTTCTCTGTTGATATTATCGAAATGTAATTTAATTTTACTGCCTCCTCGACAAGATATCTGATTCAATGTCATGTCCTGCCATTGCAGATATTTCTGTCTGACACAAACATAGATGTCATTCATGTTCTTTGCACATGGTTTCAATGAATTGACCTCTCTCCCACAAACACTTTTCCACATTCGTATGCACATGGTTTCAATGGATTGATCTGTCTCTCCCACAAACACTTTCCCACATTCGTATGCATATGGTTTCAATGGATTGACCTGTCTCTCCCACAAACACTTTTCCACATTCGCATGGCATGCTACAGACCCCAGAGGCTTTAAATCTTAAGTAATCTTCACTGGTCTCAGCATGTGAGAAGGCCTCTTAGTAAGGATGTTGACCACCTTTTACCTCCTGATCTTGTATGATGCTGACTTTTGGAATGGCAAAGAGGCTACCCCAACTGGTCTTTTTCTATTCGTGGCTTTGTTGAAGGCTGCAGCATTGTATCCATTCTGCCTAAATGTCATCCTTAAATGTTAGATTTTGTCACTAACACATTGTGTATCACATTTCATCTTGGCATGGTTAATGAATGTAGCCAGCACTGCATGTTTTTGCAATGGATTATGGTGTGTCTTTGCTTTTAAGTTCATAATCCAGGTAATAAATACTGAAGAATACAGGCTCGCCATGACTGATGTGAATGAACAAGTGGAAAACATGAACATGCAGGCGATATCTAGGTGCAAGCAAGAAATCTAATAATCACTTAGCTGGGCTACAATGAGCAGAAGACTATTTCGGTTTTCCTAGTTCTACACAGCAGAAAAAGGAAATATATCTTGGAGTACTCTACCTTACAAACTCCTTGATATCAAAGAATTTGATAAAATAAAAACTACACCTTGGTTTTGCTAAACCTCTGTTAATTTTATACTGGAATTTTTCTCTGACTAATCATTCTGCACATAGTATAAAATTCCTACAGAACTCAGGTATAAAGATCTTTAGTCATGAATTTTCTTCCCCTATGAAAATTTCTGACAACTTATCACATTTCAATTTACTGGGTGATACATAAAAGCATTACTGCCTATCAGATTCCAGAGCAGTTTCCAGCAGTTCACACAATCATGGACAGAACAAGATACAGTCTAAATGAGGGAAACATAAACAATGAAGCATTTTAAGAGTTTCATGGCATGTTTCTCCATTAGGGTATGAGATAATTGTGAGGGATCTGGAGCAGTGCAGTGACTCTAATGATCAGTGTGCCAGGGAGCATCAGACAGTGACAGAGTATGTGTGATACAGAGCTCCTCATTCGAACAGAATCCATTACGAATCACAATGAGAATTTCAAGAAGAGTTTAACTAACACGAGGCTTCTTCTCCAAGTGCAATTCATCATGGACTAGACAGTGGCACAAAGAAGGCTCTTGTCACTTGTACAATGCCATCTGACTGACCTTCCTCAGTTTACAGTATGTCACTTCAAAGCTACATATAATTCCTATGTTCTAAACAATGTACAAGGTGGAAGATATGAGAAAATTAAAGTAAATAATTCATATGTGATATTCTGAATTTAAGTAAAGCTAATATGTATTGGATCACATAATTCTCTTACATTTTATACTGAATATCTTGAGCAACTATATTTCATGGTGATACTATGACTACAGTCAATTCCTTCTTCTGACAATTCAACAAGTAATGTAACTAAGGACCCATTAACAACAGGAAGAAGTGTAACATATTCATGACATTTTCCATCCCTGATGACATTACACACACAATGCTCATAACTGTTCCCATATGCAAAGGTCAAAAAAAAATTATTTTTACAAATTCTACTGTGAATAAAATATTGTACATTTTACAGTCTTTATATAGTGCAAAAGTAACAGTGCTCCATTATTAGATAGGTCTCATTTGCTTCAATTTTACGAAACAGTTCAACACAGCATTTTTACACAGTTATAAGGGTATATCATTATTAAAATAACAGAAATTCTATATCTTCCAGAACAGAAAAGAATGACATCAGTTCAAATATGTCTGTCTAATATTGTACCACTCTGTTTTCTTACCTGTAGTAAATAAAGCAGATTCTCCATTGATCACAGGTGGATTATCTGATTTGCAGATTAGCCAGGAAACTTTCTGAAACCCTTCAGTTACTGATAATAGCTTCCCAAAATGACTTGCATCTCTTTCAGTACTACGTGGGGCACGTGGTAATGCAGTTAGTTGAGGCACTATGCTACAAGCTGGAAGGTCACGGGTTCAATTCCCAATGAGATCACTGGATTTTTCAATCGGCCTTATCTTTTAAGCTGCACTATGGCCCAACAATCAACTCAGAATCTAACAGACATGAGTACCAGGAATCTTCCTGGGGGTAAAGGGTGGCCAGTGCGTAAGGCTGACAACTTCACCACCATCTGTGAGCTGACAGTCTAGAAAAATCTAGGAACCTCATGTCTCACAAACCTATGGGCTTCCATGGCCTGTTACAGGGACAACTTTACTTTTTATTTTACTTCAGTACTATGTATCAGCAGTGTTTTACACTGATGTGATGTAGACTGCACCTTATCTCACTGTTACAGGTTTCCATTTTACTTCCTTTCCTTTCATGCTGGCCTAATACCATCACATAAGGCTTACTTTCTTCTATTGGTACGATATTTTTCTTAATTACTTAGTAACAAGAAACATATCTAGCAGACTCTACAATTTAGAGTTCCTTACAGGTTTTAATTTCACACAAAGTTCATTAGTTTTCATACCATACTTAATTAAATAACACTGTTACAACCAAAACACTTTATTTCAGATTTCGGTAGTTGTGACACAACAGATGAAAGGCAGAATAGTGCAACAAAATAAGAGTCAGCCCTTGCTATGCAACAATGCAGTAAATGTGTTTCTGTGGCAATGAATAAACATGCAACAACAAAGTAACCACGGAAAAGATATTTTCTATGCAGTCTAAGGCTATACACCAAGGACCAGTGGACTTAGTTTCACTGAGTCAGCACTTGTAGTTAGTTGTTAGTTATGAGCAGAGGATTCTCCAGTGTTAGAAGCCACTACCTAGCAATGACTAGTGAAGACCTAACAGAGTGAGAAGAATTCGTGCATGCCATAGTGATTTGTAGAGTGTGAACAAGAGTGAGGGTTATAATCATTTGTAGTTATGAGTTATAAGCTTTCAATAATTCCAAGTATCAAACCAAACCCTATGTCCAGTCACTAACATGTGACATGGTAACTGTTCCCTTAATTCTGAAATATAATTTGGACTTATTGGATACATCTTTTCTTTATTCCTTTCTCTTGAATGTAGTTTGTATAGTGTTATTTAATCCCCCATGTACTTTATTGTGCACATAAGACAGAAAAACGTGTGGTTATAACAGTAAAACATATTGTAGTGCATTTGATCAACATGTTACCAGGCAGCAACTCTGTAAACACAGTCCATTGCTAGGTTACACAACAATGGAGGAGGCTGTGTTTTCTGTGCCTGTGGTGACATTGCAACAGGAGATAGTGATCATGTGATATGTGTTTACTGTTGGTCAATGCCCATCCCTTGGTTATATAAGAGAGCAGAATTCCTAAGCTGGCAGAGAGAGAGAGATATTAGCGGTGGAAGCAAGCGAACAGAGTGAATTGGAACCAGGAATACAAAAGAGTATAGGAGGTCAGCCTGTGAGGATTTAAGATGTGATTTGAAGACTTTATGTGTGCTATGGTGTAGTGGTACTGGTCGTGTGTGATTTAAGGAGACTTTTATAGTTCCTGCATTTTAATTGTGGTACCAGGAGAGGACCAGTTTGTGTGTAAATCAGTGGTAGTGCTGCATTTAAATGTGATTAAGATTGTAGCCGAAGTGCCAATAAATCCAATCACCCAAACTGGAACCTGTCATTTTGTCACATGTACCACCCTACACATGACAATATTATTACTTTCACAAGCAAAAGGTTTTAATTTTTGTTTTTGCATATATGTATCTATGTTAAGCAAAAAAAAACTCCGTGGTTTTAGTCTGCAAGCGAACAATACAGACTGAGCAACTGTTGCTTGTTGAAGTTAGTGCCAACTTTAGCGGATAGAGGGTGTCGCGTGGTCAGCACAACGAATCCCCACAGTCATTAATTTCTGTTTTCCAGACTTGAACCTATGTTAAGCATGATGTGTAATTTATAAAATGCAATGAAGTTCTGACCATGGAAGTCTGAAGGGTTACTTCAAAGTTAAGTACAATCTTGGTAATCCGATATATACGGGAACAAGGTATTGCCAGATTACCAAAAATGACAGATTACTGGAAATGGTTAAATCAAATTTATTTTTATTTTTCTATTTTCCTTGATTTCATATATCATACCATGTCCAACTCTACACTCTTAGGCAAATTAATAAGTTTTTCACCTATGTCATGCTTCTCAATTATTTCCGCTTTAGCAATTACACTTGAAGTCTTATGTTTATGTTTGTCAGAAATGGACATTGTCAGCACATATTAAATCCGCAACTGTATGAAAAGTACTGTACGGGGATGTATAGTACTGAAAAATTGAAACACTCTGTACTAGCGAGGGTCTAAATAAATCAGTTTGTCGAACTTGACTAAACACAAGTCAGCCTCTGCTGCCTGAGAAACCTGCACAAGACCAAGGATGCCTGTCTGCCCCCTGATGCCAGATTATTGGACATGTTGGCCTAGCACATGGCCAGATTACCAAGATTAAATGATTCTGACAGTTTAATGCAGCATAGATAGTGGGTATTTCCAGATCCTGGAATCATCTGTTGATTTTAATTATCTGCAACAATTCTTCCCCCCATTACCCAAGATAATTGAGGGTTTACTGTAAGACTGAGTTAACTGGGAGGCAAATTTTGCATTTTTGGGAACAATAAATAAAATAACTTGGATACCATTATGTGTAACATTTATATACAGCTGAAGTTTATGCTTATTTTTGTTTCTGTAATTACAGACCATAAACTATCAAAATCTTCTCATCTAGATCCAAAAATTATGTTGGTAGGAATCTGAACCAACAGTTGATTAGGTAGCAATATTTACTACAGCATCTCTCAGCCATCTGTACACGGCAGCACGCTTAAATACAATTCAGCATTCCATTGCATACAAAATGACGTCTTGTAATAAAGTTATGCGTGTGGATATATAAACTAAGTAAGTACATTCATATTGTTTCTTCATACTTTCTTATGCTTATCATTTATATAATTTTTTCTAATACGTATCATATTTCATAGGGAAATTTAACACATTAACAAGGTTTCAGGAACAATTACCATATGTCATCAGTGACAAAATATTGAGATTAAATACTGCTGTTCTGAAAAAGTAGTCTGTAATATAAATTTAAAAAATTAAAATAATGTTCTGAAATTCATAATTAAATAAGATACTACAAAAATTTGCTCACAGAGAGCCATAATTAAGAGAGTAGCAATTTATCAAAGAAACAGCAGAAAAGATATGTGATATGACACAACAGGATCTCACTGCTATACTACACTCTGTGAATTATAATTAAATGTGTAGAAATGCAGACAAATTTAAATGGCGTGGCACACTGATTGATAGATACTGATCTGTTTGATACTTCCATCACTGGCTTGTAGTTGTGGCAATCAGTTACTTTTGATTCAATTGCAGTTATGAAAAATGGGAAGAAATTCATGGTTCACCATATTTGTTAAGTCCATCTTTTTCAAAACATCATTAAGCTGTAGTGCTGGACAAAAGGCTAACTCTTAGGGGACTCTTCTATGTATGTGAAATGTGAAAATGTTAGGGATTACAGACATGTCCACAAATGTTCAATGAAATGTCTACCAGATGAATGAAAACATACAAACACACCTACAACACATCCTCAAAAACAAAGCTGGCTGGCAGAAGAATTATCCTAATTTTGCATGAATTCTATTTGTTTCACTTACACTTTTGTAATGCTGGAAGCAGCTCAGATACACAAAGTTGCTCCACATAATGGTGAAAACATGTTGCCACATATCACATGACTTTTATACAAGTGCAAATCCCAAGAGGGAAAGAATCCTAAAAAGAGAAGAGATAATCTTGTTCTTTTTATGGAAGTTTTACTCAATATGGCTACTGCAGTATGATAATTCAGAGGAAAGTCCACAACAGAGGCCACAGACTCTGCTTCCTGCCTGGATAGTTAAACAGAGTGACTTCTTCACTTTCTGATCTCAATAAGTCACATTTTCAGAAATGGCACACTGTCAACATAAGAACATTTGTTGTTTCATGTTACCAACAAATTTCTTAAATGATGAGAGGGAAGATGGCATACAAAACAGGTGGCGCAAAACACCATCATCTGATAACCAGAAACTGCTCTCTGCAATGCATCACACTCTCTATCAGCCAACTAGTATCACTTTCATGCAATGGCAAATACTGACTACTGTGTGAAACTTGTGTTGAACACTGAGAAGTACTATAAAATATTCTTACACATGGTATTTAATGAAAATTTAAAAAATACATTTTACATTTTCTACATAAATCTGGTTAACAAACTGGCTACTCCATATATACTGTAGAGAGGGGGTGAGGGAGAATTTTCGAAGTTTGAATGATGATTTGCCTTTCTGCTTCCTGTAAGATATCTGTATGCGGACAGCAGCTGTTAACTTTATTTTAAAAACTATATGAGTACTGAATTAGAATATAAAACCAAAGTCAGACAAGAACCCATTCTACAAGCCAAGCCTGCAGAGAGACTTCTTGCCTAACTTTGCCTTTTATTTAAACTACATTGCCAACTATCTGTATAATGTGTATATCATTAAATCCAGCATCGTATCACAGAAAACATGTAACACTTATAAACTCAACATCTGGTTCACAGTTCACAGAACTTCTGACATATTCATTTAAGCAAAGTTAACCTCAAACCTAAGTACCTACAGTGAAACCCACATTACAGGTTGATTTTGGAAGCAGTGGATTTGAATATTAAACTGTCAAAAATCTTAAATGCAGGTAATTTATCACTGAAATTAATGACTTTGGATCATTGAAATTGAATATTAAATGAAGGGAAACCTTAAATGGGGCTTCCACTGTACATGGGCATGTCAGAAACCAAAATGATGATGTGAACAAGAATTTATCAGAGGTCATTGCCTATATTTTGTACATGTACAGGATCATTTTAAGGAATAACAAACTACAGGTAATGCATGACATATGTTTACAATATGTCTGCAGAATCTAAATTTGATACACAGGAAAGTCAGTTTCTTGGCTATCTGTGTACTCACAAACCGTTATTTTCTAAGAATTATGCTGTGCAGATGAGATTCCTTAATTTACTTCAACACAGACAGGCTGTATAAAATAGAACAGTACTTTCAAGAAAGGAAAAAATATATATTTTCTAAATACATCTGTAGAAGGGAATGAGATCCAGAATTTCAAGCTCTCCAAAACTGACACAAAAAATGTGCAGCCTAAACAGGGACTGCTCTCTTTTGTAATTCATGCCACATAAAAATGAAGTTTACAATATATGCATACTCACACAGTCTGTGTTGAGTATAAAACAGTGAATAATGGAATGGAATGAGGTCCCTGCACTATACAATCAGTAGCCCTGAAGATGCAATGGTGTTTAGTTCTATAAAAGTAAAGAACACACTTTCATGAAATTTCCATTCATTTTATTCATCTCTGATAAATGCTTGACTTTGTCGACCAATAAAATTAACTCTTTTTCTTATACAGAAAAATCAAGAGTAATTACAAACTGTCTTAAAATAATATTTCAGACTGAAATCAGGACAGTGAAGTTAAGTGAATTGGTATACAGCGGTCTCCTATCTCTTGCTCTCTGCTCTTCTCCGTGATGATGTGTGACTTGGAGTTTTGCACCGTGCTGATGTTAACCAAGGCAAGGAAAATTCACTGGAAAAGTAAGAGTATAACTTGTCTTAATGCATCAACTTTCAACTGATGCTCAAGTTAGGATGCAAAATTCACTGACATTCAAAAATATTGTTTACTATAGTTATTCTGTGAATAAGCATTGAGTTGCACCACAATTTGAAAATATGAACAACATCTTCAGCAGAGTGAAAAAGTTGCTCTCAGGCCTGCTACTTCCAGCAACTAGCTTACTGAATAATTACCACTATGGTAGCAGAACTCAACAGTTCTGTATGTATTTCACTATCCTCACAACCTGTATGGCTCCTCATTATGCACTATCATAAAATGCTCTCTTATTTCAGTCCTCTTAGACAAAAATATTTTCTTGTGCATCCTGTTTTCAAACATTTGTAATTTATATTCTTCCGTCACAGCAATGGACTGTGTTTGACGCCCAAATAAAACAACTAGCTAGAATGTTTTGTACATACCGATCTTCACTATTTTTGACAGCAGACAAGATGAAACAGTTTTCTTGGCTGAATAATAATAATAAGCAGTTCCAAATTTATTTTTCTCTTAATTAAATCACGAATATAATTTCAATTTATTAGTGTTTTTCTTGGATTTTTTAAAGATTTTCTAATGATTTATTATTTTCCAGGAACCTCAGCTGGTTAGATCATACCCAGTAACTACCGTTGCTACAGAAGGTAAGGACTAGTTTTAGCAGAGTTCACAGTGACAACTGTTTTGTGTGATCGTCATTTTTGCAATGGCCGATTTTCGTGAACAGCGCGCAGCGGTGAAATTATGCTTTTTGCTTGGGAAAAGTGGAACAGAAACTCTTGAAATGTTAAAAACGGTGTACAAGGACGATGCTATGGGGAAAACTCAAGTGTTTGAGTGGTTTTCCCATTTCAAAAATGGTGAAATGTCAATTGATGACAAACCTCATTCTGGTCGTCCTCCATGGCCCGAACACATGAAAATGTTGAAAAAATTCGTGAAATCATCAAGGAAGATCGACGATGGACCATTGAAGAAATTGTGGCGGTCAGGAGTGACTTGGAGCTCAGTTCAGCAAATTTTGACAGAAGATTTGGGAATGAAAAGGTTGGCTGCGAAATTCATGCCATGACTGCTGACTGCTTAACAAAAACAAGGTCACGTGGAAGCATGCTGTGCTTTGAAAGAACTTTTTTTTGTTTAATCAAATGAAAAGAGACATGAAAGGAAAGTGTCTTGCTGATGTTGCTGAGGTGAAGGAAAAAACGACGGAGGCGCTGTCAAGCATCTCAAAAGATGAATTTAGACAATGTTTTGAAAAATGGAATAAAAGACTAGACAAGTGTATTAGTGTAAGTGGAGAGTACTTTGAAGGGGATTGAAGGTTTGTGCTTAAAATCTGAATAAATAAGTTTAAAAAAAAATAAGTTCAGTTTCTTTTGGGTACCCCCTCGCACCTCATTCCTCCATATGTCTTCATGATGTGGTGCTTAATCAAACACAGGGACAACTTTAAATTTTATATTAAATAAAAAAGGAGCCTGTGCTCAATCGCGTGACATTTTGCAACCTTTTAGTCAAAAGGTACACTTACTATTTTAAACACTAATATTCATCCAAACCTGATAATGTTGGAATTTTATTTTAATATAAAAAATCACCAGAGTACCCACCAAAATTTTAGTGATTGAATCAATGAGAAAAATGTATACATAAAATAAAAGTTACATTTAAAAATTCCAGTACAGCATCTGGAAAATCAAATCACAGGACTAGGTCATGAGACATATTCAGCTACTGTTCATCATTTAAAGTCTTCATAAAAAACAAAAAACAAATTCTGTACTGTACAGATTTCTGAAGAGATTTTAACTAAAACCAACCTTAAAAAACTCTTAGTCATAACCACTTCAGGCAAGAAAATCACATGTCAGTAATTATGAGAGATTATAGTCTTTCCATCTGTACATTTTCATGAACAAAGCTGTCTCTCATGCAACATTCAAGCTTCAGAATGTAGAGTTAAGCAAGAATTGGATGGCGCTCTTTACATACCTAGCTATAAACTTTGTAATTGGAAGACCGAAAGCAGCAACAGGCACGCTTTCAGTAATTTCCAGGTATTCAGCATCATCTAGCTGTGGCCATAAGGAACTGAGAGGTTCTTCCCCATCACTGTGCCGACTATTACTGCCTCCACTACCTCTCCTTGTTGATGCCATCTCTCGCTGCTTTAACTTTTCCACTTGGCGTTGTTCACGAATACGTTGCACATCCCACCTGCAATGGACTAGAGCATGAACCTTCCTACATTTGCTTAACCCCTGTGCACCATGTTTGTTTCCTAAAGACTGTAACTTTAAAGTATGAACATGAAAAATTGTAAGTCTTGCTTAACAGGTGTTTCACAGAATTTGATATGTTTAAGAACATTACTGGCTCCCAGCTGTACAGAATATTGATTGCTGCTGAACTATCAAGAATATATTGCTGTGACCTAATATCAAGGTATCGAGTCTGACTGCAAGTTTCATGAAAATTTCCATGGTCACTAAAACTGGGAGGGGGTTCTGACATTTCTATATTTGACTATGACAGTAGATGGTGCATATGTGATTCCAGTGAATACCAGCCATGGGATGATATGACAAGAAACGTAATTCCGAACATCTGTGTGGCTTTACTACAAGTGATGCAGCTTTATAGACTCAGTCCTCCCAATATAATATTCATTCCTTCATAAAAAGAGAAAAAGGACTTGAAAATCATTAATTAGGCATCTTTGCTTGAGTTCTCTAAAACTGAAAACCTACTCTGAAACTCTGAGACTTAACCTTCTGCTCCTCTTCATCTTTTACATCAGTTAGTAGAAATTTAGTTGTGCTTGGGTATATCATGATGCAATGGACCCATCCTCTGTCCCTTTCAAACATCAAAAGAATACGGTACTTCAGAAGTAATTCTGAATCAGAATAATCTATAGACGATAACTCATAAAACACAGAATAATAATTAACAAGAAATAACAGGTCAAAGCTGAAGCTGGAGTGGTTGCCATTGAGTAAATATAGAACACTCTGTAAGAGCAGCCATCTGATACATTACATTTGTTTAACATCGATGGCTGGTCTGTATGTCAGAAGTTCAGGAGCTACTTTACTATCTTACCTCTTTCTTCTTCGTTCATCTATCTCCAGCCTCTGGTGCCGCTTATTGAAGACTTCATCATCTAAATTTTCAGTGCCCTCCATAGTATAGCAACTAGTATAAACCTTAAGTCTCCAACTAGGAACCTACAATAATATGAATTTGAACTTTTAAAAAACAGCTACAGACTGAAAGAGTATAAACACGCGTATCTCTCAATTATGCTTAGACTGTACATGACTGCATATAATCAACAATAACACAAATTATGTGGTCCACTTTAAAAGCCACAATGATTAAAGTCAAATATTAAAAAGTTATGGAGCTATAACCTCTCATCAGAGCAAGGAAAGACACTGTTTCATCTGTAAGAAATACATTCCTCTGAAATATACAGTGTTAATGACCTACATGAAATGCTTCCATATGAACTACTTCAGACAAAGCAATTCTGAAAAGGAATACTAATGTTGTGCATAATTTTTCCATTTTAATGTTCCAATTTTATCCAAAAATTTTGCCTAAAATATCTGTGCAATGCCATGATGGCATAACTCAATTTATTTACTTAAGAAATTTCCTGCAATTTATGAAAAATTAAGGTATATAACTACATTCACAAAAGCTTGCCAGAAAACTATATCCTCAGCCAGATAAGTCCAGTCCACATCCTCTCAACATTCCTACTTACTTACTAGATTCCTTTCTAATATTACCCTATCATTTACACATGGGCTTCCACAGACATCTCTTCCTTTCATGCTTTTCGTGCCCTAACTCTCTGTGCACCTTATGCTACATGCTAGCCATCTCTTCTTCCTTGATTTAGTCACCCTAGTAACAGGTGCTAAATACACAGTGTATTATATGTATACAGTGGCCGTCTGGTAGTGCACACAATTTCACCTGTCACTTCACATGTTTTGGCAACACAGTGCCATCATCAGGTGTCCCAACTACGTCAATCTATTGCATTGCCTGCCTTCATATGTTTTCACCAACCATTTAAAAAGTATTTAAAAAGTCTGTGTTTGTCAACTATGATAAATTTACACTCGCTAAAACTTGTTAAGATAATTCATCTTATTTGTCTTAATTAAAACTTGTATGTGGTTCGTTCACTACGGGGTCGTTTTTCTTATTTTCTGTGTAAACTGCGTCTTGTGATGTGTGTTCCCTTCTTAGTTGCGAGTGTTGTAATCACTTACACAGAGTGTAACTGAAAGCTTCAGACAAACTTTGGGCACAAGTTCCACATACCCAAACAAGATAAAATGTCCATATCAACATGTGTAAGGAAACGTTTAATTTTTGAGACTTACAGATGAAAGAATACTAGGTAGACAACAGCAGCAGTTCAGCATTAACCTTTAAGGGACGGGACATTTAAATTCTGATAGTGGTAGCGGGACGGAGGTAATTTAAATGCCCGCCACTGTAGAGTAATAAAAATTGTAATCATGTTACTCAAAATGCTGTGATTTCTACAATTTTTGTGATAAATGAACGAAATAAACGCTGCTTTTATCTAGAAAGAATATAGAATCAGATATTGTAATTTACAGATTTTAGAATCTGTAAAAATTTTTGCACTGATTCCAAAAAAAATTTTTCCCCCAATTTTGAATATCTGCCCACAAATATGCAGAAAGTTTCTGCAGTATAAATGCATGCTGATGACATCCTCTCTTCCTGTGTCTCATCTTTCAAAGGGGGAGGAAGGTAATGTTTGTCCTGCACATTCTCCAGTCACGTCGTAACCTTTCTACTATTGCACAAGTGGGCGCAAGTCTTATTGTAATTTATACTTCAGAAACATTGCCTCTTTATATCTCGGGCTAGCCACACAGAGTTTCTCTTCTTGGAATAGCCCTGCAATGCGTTTCAGTTTCGTCTGTACCGCATTCTAAATCGGTGAGATTTATGAGCGGCCTCTCAATCTCATCTTCTTCCATGCAAAATGGAGCTATGTTGGATAGTTCAAATTGCGATGTTTTATAAGCATTATGATTCTGTTTACATCTCGGACTAAACACATAGAGCTACTGTTCTTGGAATGCCTTTCAGTCTCGTCTGTAATGCATTCTGAATCGGTGTAATTTATGAGCGGCTTATTGCATGTGAAATGGGGCCATGGTGGATAGTTGAAATTGCGATGTTTTATAAGTGATGCGATTAGAATTGTCCTTCAGAAACCCTGACTGTGCATATATCGAACTAACCACACAGAGGTACTGTTCTCGCATAGCCCCTCACTACCAGAATGTTCTATCCTAGCGCGTTGTGTTGTGAATAAAAGATCGCAATTGAAACTAGCCAGCATGGTCTCATTTCACTTGGCAGAAGACGAAATTGAGAAGCAGCTGATTATTGACACCGATTCAGACTGCGGTACAGAATATTCTGATAGTGGCGAGGAAACAACGGGCTCAGAACCCGAAGTCGACGAAGACCCATCATATTTGTCGGCAACCTGGGGACCACCACACACCAGCATGGCAGGAGGCATGTGAATAATTATTCCAGTGGAGCTGTGGGGTTAAATATCAATGAAGCTCCACACGTAAATAAGGATTCCACCCCTTTCTGCGTTTTCATTCTATACTTCGCAGGGATTATCCGTCTGCTGGTGGAAGAGACAAACAGGTACTACCACCAGTGCACAACATGCTGGAACATGCTGCAAGGGGTCCACCTCGCCCTCAACGGTTCATGGGTCGACCTCCTGCTATGTCATCGGTGATATCTTGATTAGAGGAGGCCTCTCGACATCATTGGCTGACTTCCTCTACTACAAGATTGAGATGTCGTGTGTGTGCTCTTCACGTAGGAAATGAAGTTACATCCGGATAAAATGTGTGAAGTGCAACGTTGGACTCTGCATTTCCGGATGTTTCCAACAGTTCCACACAAAGGCAACATTCAGTTAGATGATGCAGGAGGGAAGACAGTCTACTTATAAAGCTGGTGTCCAAAAATAATGTAAGCAAAACAAGAATTTCTATCTTAAAATTAGATTTTAAAACACTGTGCGACGCGTGGACTGCGAGTCCCCATACGGTGTCTTTCGGCCACCTCAGCTTTACTTTAAAGGTTCCCATAAGGTGTCCTTCGGCTCTTAAAGGTTAATGTGAGGGCAGGAACTGCTGGAGACTGGTAGGCCTACATGTTTTACCACACTGGCTTAAAGGCAACCACTTCCAAGATTTCCTCTTAAATGGTCTGCCAAAAGCTATTGGAAGATGTACCACTGGCAGTCAGAGTATAAATGTGGCATGTGCAACATGGTGTTCAGGCACATTTCAGCCATTCTGTGTGAGATGTTCTCAATGACACCTATCATGACTGATGGATAGGTAGGGGAAGACCAACTGTACAGCCTCCACAATCACCACATCTGAATCCTCTGATTTTTAACCTGTAGGCCCACCTAAACACCCTTGTGTATGCAGCTCCTGTTGACATCGAAGAGGCACTTCACCATCCCATTGTGGATCCCTGTCAGACTATCTGCAACTACCCTGGCATCCTTGAACAGACGTGGTGGTCCATGATGAGGCATGTTGGGGCATATACTGAATATTACAGAGGACATTTTGAGCACTTATTACAAAGGCACTCTTTCAGCTATAACTAAAAAATTAATGTTTCTAGACACACGTTAATATCAACATTTTTTCTTGTTTTGGTATGTGGAACTCAAGCCCAAAGTTTCTCTGCACCTTTCAGCTACACCCTGTATACTCACAATGCTGTCAGAAAATAGAAAAAGTGTAATCCAAAAAAAATTATATTCACACAAACGACCCTTTCTTTCTTACCACCAGATTAATAGCTACGTGGTAGAGATATAAAATGCATACAAAATATTAGGAAGGAAGAGAATACTTGGGAGATCAATGCAAACATAGGACATTAATAATATTAAATTAAAATTCAAGAAATATGGTTTGAGGATATTGATTAAGTTCATTTAACTCAGGACAGGGTCCTGTGGCAGGATCTTATGAACACTGTAATGAACTTTCAAATTCCGTAAGAGATGTGACATTGCTTGGCTATCTTAACAACTGTCAGCATCTTAAGAAGGGTTCTGCTCCGTGGAATTTGTCTATTGCAAATATTGCTTACAAGAACAATGCATAAAATTGTGTAATGTGCATTTCAAAATAAAATTACCACAGAGACACAATTCTGTACCTAAGCAGATTAATATGATACATTCCCATATACATAGGTGAGTCAATAAGTAAGTTACAAATTGATGTGGGGTACTACATGTTTGAATGAGGCACTTGAGGCTATCGCCATTAGATGGCAGCATTAGTCTGGTGGCAACTGATGACATTAGACAAGAGACAATCGATGTTTACAAAAGCGAAATAGCAGTTGCAAGATGGTGTGGCCTCTGAGTGAGTGTACAACCCTTGAGCAGCGCTCCGTTGTGTGATTTTTGTGGGCAAAATGTTTTGGAATCAAAAAATATTCATAAAGAAATTCTTCCCATCTACGATGAGAAGTGCCTGTCACCTCAAGCTGTTTACAATTGGGTGCAGAAGTTCTCTGAAGGGCGGACACATATCGAAGACAAACACCACATTGGTCGGCTGTAGAAAGGGAAGTCACCACCTGGTTCTGACAGCAGCCCAAAGAATTTTATGCTGCTAGTTTTCATGGGCTTGTGAGATGATGGGACAAGTGCCTCAGTGTACAGGGAGATTAAGTTGAGAAATAAAAGCATTTTTCAAATCAGTACTCTTATTTGTTTAAGTTCTATATCCATTTGTAACTTACTTATAGACTTACCCTCGTATATACGAAGCTAGGATACACAATTATAGAAGCTTTCACATTGCAAAAAAAAAAACAAAACATTATTTGTAGGTGTATCTAAGCTCTAATCATAATTCCTACAATATGCTCATTGCCAAACCTCAACATGTCCATTCAATTTTGTCTCCTCAGTGCCCCATGGCAATTCAGACTCTCCAATAGGCGTATAGTATAGTGTATTTGTAGTCAGTACAGCATCTTTCTTCGTGGTACTACCTGAAATTAGCAAAACCAACCAGAATGAGAATAATCCAATGCACTACACTCTCACAGGCTTATGAGTTTAAAGAGAAGTCATCAGCACATTATATATCTACATGAAGACCTGAGCTACAAGCTTTTTACCCTGCAATGTAACAGTTGCTTTGAAACTTTAGGGACAAATTTTGAATGGAAGTACATATAATTCAACAAGTAGCATGACAAATGTGACATATTACAGTGATACTATCACTGATTAATTTGAAATCACATGATTCTCATTTGAATCCATGTAGTGACAATGGGGTTCAGGCAGAGAGGAAAGGTTCAAACTCAGCCAAACACTGAACCCAATTAATCAAAAAACTGCAGCTGACACAGGTAGGCTTGCCAGCATCCAAGGTCACACGCTCCAGAATGAACAGTATATAAGATTTAATTGTGGACACGTTATGCAATGGGGGATGAACCAAATCAACGGACAGGAACTACAAGTTAAGCAACAGAGTGTATCAGATCTATCATTGGAGTGGTGAACACACAAACTAACTCCATTTTCTTCTTATCTACTGTACCAATAAGGAACACGTGCACACACACACACACACACACACACACAAGACATCCTACAACAGCATGTCCATGGCTTAACTATGTGCTCCTGGGATCACTTTGAGTAAAAATTTTCAAATAAACATTGGTGCAATCTGCAATGGTTTGTGTAGGATTCAAGATTCTGAAGAGTACTATCTTCCAGAATCTAACATTGCGAAGTCTGCTGAAAGTCAACTAACATTTCAGAGGAACATGTCACCTTCATATTCAAGGTCGAAGAATAAGTCAAGCATGAAACCAGCATGAACCAGGTAGCAAAGAAGAGCTGCTTCGCGCTGGTTTCTTGCTTGGCGTATTCTTCAACACCGAAGATGGAGGTGACATGTTCCTCCAAATTGTCAGTTGATTTTCAACGAACGCCATGGCATTATAGTTTTCACGTCCATTACTACAATCACTAAAGATCAAATGTACCATAAGATTTTCTAAAACTGATTTATAAAAGATTAATGTCTGTACCTCAATCTCTTATACTCCTGGGGGTTTATTTGGATCAGTTCTTGGTGCACTTAATGATATTTTGTCAACTGCCATATGGCACCAATTAAGAAAACAGACAAATATTATGCATGATGTTCAGAAAGATGTGTAAGGATGTGGCTGCTGCAATTTTAAGGCAGTATACCAGCATATGTCTACAGGAACTTGGGAAAACCACAAAGACATCAACACTCAGGCAACTTCAATATGAAGGACCACAAACCATGTCTGTGTCCACTTTTTTTAATTCAGCAGTACTGCTAATTCCCATCCTAAACAGTGCACTCTGACACAAAATGAAAGTTTTGTTTTTGCAAAAATGTTGGCACCCAGTGTCACACTCTTGTTTATACACATGGGTAAATGTATAACAAGATGGAAATGTCACTACAGTCCCAATCTGTAACAGTAAACACCCACCCCAAATCTTCTGGTTGCCTGTGCAAGAAATTAGCTATGAAGGGTGATATTAGATATTTGATGGAAATTGTTAAGACAGTGTTAGACGTTATTTGATCATTCATAAGAATAATAATTGAATACCCAAAGGTGATGGCCAATATAATTTTGCTGCAGAGCACTGTGAATAATGGTTTGTAGTGGGATCCATGGCTTTCTCCTGGGCTGGATGAATTCAAGCCAGCAAGTAAATAAAAATCTAAAAAAATGGAAGTGATACACTTAGAAAAAGTATTCTAGAATTTCTGAGCCAGATTATTCCAATGACTGCCACAATACCAACATGGACACTAGTCAAGAAAATGGTGGCCCAGCTCAAACTGGTGTTTCAGACTTTCATATACTCCTTCCCTCTTATGAAGAATAAAGAAAAAACACACAAAACTGATGCTCCTTCATAATGCATAAGCTTGCAGTTCACTTCAACTTCACATTCACTTCATTCACACGCTTAAAATTTAAAACAAAACACAAATAAAAATACGAAGGAAACCTTTGGTCCTAAGTTTCTTCTGCATTCGTTTATGTTCTCCTGTTGTCTCCTTAGTTAGAGAGTTTCTTCCATCATGTGAGAGCACATCACTATTTATAGATGATGTCCATGATGCAAGCCGTTTCCGTCGAATGCCACTACCACTGGCAGAACCACTATTTTCAAGATCCCCTCTTCTTCTTCTCTTGGCTATTTCCCATGATGAACGAGGTGTAATAATGTTTTGATTATCTGTAATGGGGAAGTTTTCACAATTGTTCCCTATGTTAATATTATGTATGCTACTGTCAATAGTTTCCAGAGGAACTGTGATGGTTTCTGTATCACATTCAATAATGGATGTTCCTGAAGAGCCAAGAAATACAGATGAACATCCCGTTGTGAATGGGGGGGACACGGCTCGGGGACTAATGCACCCACCAGATGTTGGCACAAATACTTCTGAAATTTCCCGATGTTTCTGCAAAGTCACCCTGCGATCCATGCGCTCCAACCTCTGCCTGAGCTGTACAAAAGATTGAACAATTCTATAAGTACAAAGAAATCAATGGGCAAAGAAGTGAACAAAAATAGCTTGACAGCTGAACATTGTTAAATAATGGATACTGTCATACAAATATGCACAGTACACAGAGGGTTATATATTGTGGCATGTCTGCTGAGAGCCAGAATTATGAAGCCTGCAGAGACAGCCATTGCTATGCCAATAGCTAAACCATGCAACAATTGAAGAACTGTTGAGATGTGTTTCTGTGGTGTTCATACAGAACAAGTAGTCTAAAAGACAGAGCAGATGTTACATAAGGACTATTATCGCCAGGGTTCAGGTGGATAAAATCTCTGGTCATGGGTCTCGAGGGGTTTGACGCCAAGATGAACTTACTGGCGATAAAACACAAGTTGTAAAGTAACTTTGAATGTCTTTGACTTTGAGTCAGTCTGCTAGCCAAGAGCTGCAGTGGCTGACGCTGGGGCCTGTTTGGTAACCCTGCTATTGGCACAGACCACACAGAAAACACCATTCCTCTGTTGCTGTTTACAGGCAGTTGTCTAGCTGTTTCGCGATCGTTGCCTAGCAACGGGTCTAAATGACACAATATTTAAACAGACTGGTCAAGCAAACAACTCTTAATTATATGCCACATTACAGAACTTCGAACTGCCATTCAGAATCATTGGGTTTTGGCCTCTGGCCATCGTCCGATATGCTAGAAAAATACTAGAGAACATAACGTTTCAGGAACTGGATGTTTCTGCCAACGAGTGCGCGGCAGCAGGGGTTTGTTGTGTTCTCTGGTGTTTTTTTAGAATACCCAACGATGGACAAAGTCCAGAACCACTTAGAATCTACAGAATTGTCATGTCTTCACTATATATAGGAATTACAAGGTTCTTTAGCTGAATGGGATCACTGTAACTTCACAGAGTATTCATTTACTCACACGGGGAGCCATGATGTAAACAAACAGGCTAGACAATGTAAAGATAAAACATATTTCAACAGTATGAATGTGTACAAATTTCCATAATCTAAATTTAAAGTTTGCGGTTATTTGGTAGTATAGTTTTATATAAATTCCTTTCAACAACCCACAACTATGGCTTGATTCCAGTAATTTTCTCTTGAAGACGATGGTTGCGCACGATTGTGATGGAAAGGTGCACTATGTTAGAAACATTTGTGTTGTGGTTTAATCATACTGCATCATAATTGAAAATAACCCACTATCAAACTGTACACAGTTTTAAATACATTACTCACCGTTTCATTTTCTTGCCGCAAAGCAGAGAGTTGTTTATCTTTTGTCACCAACTGTTCCGACTGTTGTTGTATTAGATCGAGATGTAACAGCAATAACTCTTTCAAGTGTTTCACTTCAGCACCATCCTTTTGAACAGTTGTTCCTTCTGTCAAGCTGGCATACATGTGATCGAATTCACAGGAATACGAAAGTATACCTGCTTTACTATCTTGGGCATTAAACGGGTCAACTTGTACTGGTTTGGCGCACGAAATGTGATCATGTATAGCTGCTACCATGTTGACGGAAGCGTCTGTCGAAAAACCTGCGACACCGCCTGTGTTTTCACCATTTAAAATTGGAGAGGCGTTTGACATCTTTATTATTAAGTAGCCCAAAGGTCTTGTACTTTTCTGCCACAACAATGCACAAAATGTAGCCTGAAACACATGAAATTGCACGTAACAAGCTCATCGATTCACCCAAAACACACCATCCACCATAACATGCATTGATTTTCTAACTTCCCGGCAGATTGCAGCACTACAATCATTACTGCACAATCGCCATCTGAAGATGAGAACTGTGCGGAACGAAATTGTTAGCTCCGAACGAAACTTCTACATTGTGAATTGTTATTACGGTTCGACATTTTAAGTGACGTGGACAGTGGTTTACTGTGATATTTGTGTCGTAAATCGTTAATCAGAGTGAATACATCCAACACACAGTTATAACAAAAACACAACCTCTACTTGCCGCTCTGCGGCCCAGGGCCCATCCTAGATGAGTGGTCCGGATAAAGACGTAAACTTGATGGACTGTGATGGAACTACGATGGTGAAGACAAAGCTGAGACGACGCAGTAGGAGCCCACCAAGCAATGCCCTATTAAACAAGAAACGGACAGTTGGAAACCCACAACCGCCCACTACAGACAACATCGCTGCGCCGCCGGCCACGACAACAGGTAACAGCTTCGATAACGCAACCGCAGCCCTCACCTTCACCAAAGAGGATGCAGGGCCCTTTGTCCTCCACCTCAGAGGAAACCGTGAAAATAATACCAGACCGCTAATGGCACTCGAAGTATGTCGAATGCTAGAGAAATCTATCGTAAAATACGATCTAGTGACCCCTCTTACGAGAAACACGTGGGAAATCACTTTCAATACACGAGACACTGCTAACTACGCTTTAACCTCCCCCTACCCGAAACAACACGGTTTGA